CCTTCTCTGCCCAAGGCTCCTTCGCTTTGACAAAGTGTCCTCCGCTCGCCTTGTTCAGCGCCTCCTCTGGCAGAAAAGGCACTGCCTTGGTCAACCCAACCTGCTCCTCCTCGGCGTTGGTAAATGCCGTAACCTCCTTGCCGGCAACCAGCAAACTGCCATCACTCAGCTTGACATCGTACAACACAGCAGGTGCATGGCAGACAGCCGAAACAATCTTGTCGGCCTCCCAGAACTCGCGGATCAAGGCCTGGGACGTGGGGTCATCGACGAGATCAAACATGGGGCCGTGGCCGCCGACGTAGAAAATGGCGTCGAAGTCCTTGGCCTTGCCGATGAAGTCGCTGAGCTTCTTGGTTGTCTTCCAGACCTGTGAATCATTTTGGAGGAAGGAGACGGAGACGTCGTCTTTGGCGGCCTCGACGGACGCGGGGTCCAGCGGGGCTTCACCGCCTTTGGGAGAGGCGACGGTGATGTTGGCCTTGTTGCGCAGGACGTGGTAGGGGTGCGCGAGCTCGGGGAGGTACCAGCCTGTGGGCTTGTCGAGGCTGCCTAGCTTGTTGTGCGAGGTGAGGACGAAGAGGATGGATGGCTTGGACATGGTGGTGGATGTGTGTATTTGTGTTGTTATGTTTGTAGATTGTATGGTGTATATGGGTATAATCCGTGAAGAGGCTCAGTGATTAGGTATCAACTGAAGATATATCTTGTAAATTGAATCTCCAAGAAAATGTCGTAATAAGGAATTAGAAATTTCCAGCAACACGTAGTCATGTACTCTACTACCACTGCCCTCTAACACCATTTCAAAACCGTCGGCCGTGCCGACGTCATGAGGGGCTCTAGTAGTACGGAGTTTGTACAAAGGCCCGACTGGTCTAGTATGATGCTTGCAGCTCAGTTCCCCCCATATACACAATCCAGGACGCACTATCTCCCTTCTGTCAATCTGAGATTCGAGGCTGCTCCATCGCCGAGACTAGCTCTAATCGTAACGTCCGATGTATGCGACGGCACGGAGCTCACCTCCTGCTTTGGAAGAAACCACGAAAGAGTCTGCGAATAGGACGGCTAATTGGTGCGCTGAGGCATGTTTTTGATCGCGCCCCTCTCCGGCCGGCTAGAATCGGCCAACATGGGTGATTGACTGATGGACATCATGTCTCTTTTGTCCTACATTGTATTGTGTTCTACTCGCCATAGAGTACTGTGTACCTACTCTACTGTAGCCTCGGGATGCCCAGACGAGCTGGGAGGTTTCTAGAAACTTGTTCTTTTCGAGTCAGTAACATGAGCGTTTTTGGTCTCAAAAAAGGCTACGGCGAAAAAAGCAACAATGTCTGTATAGGCCCTAGAAAGATCGCCAATGTAAGATCGCCAATGTCCATCTATGCTATTACGTCGAGATTCTTGTGTTCCAAGCATACTCAAAATCGACACTCCACTCCCTTATATTTGGCAGGCACCAATCTCAGACTTCGTCGTCATGTGCGAGTAGAGGCTGCATCAGAGGATACAAGTGGTGTACAAAATGTGGATGAACACTACACTCTATTATAATGGGAAGCCGGATTCTCAATCGAGAAAATTCCACTCAATCTCGGGTATCGTCACCATTTCCATAACCCATATCAATAAAACGCCATCAACACCAAAAGCAATAATCCCATACCATACCATTCCATGCCCTACCCTACCCTACACAAACACGTCTTCCAACACCCCCTCAAACCAGCCCTCCCAAGTCCCCCTCTTCAACCCCAAGACCCCAATCTTCCCGCCATCCATCCCAACCTCGTTTTGAAGGCCCTCTCTTGCCCCCTCACCCTGCTGCTCCCACCACTCTGCCTCCGCCCTCTCTTTTGCGCGCTTAACAACCCTCTCCTCATCCTCGACCCGGTATAAATCGCACTTGTTACACTCTCCACACGGCTGACCAGGTCGCTCGCGAAAATGTCCGCAAAAATGTTGATAGCCCTCTACCTTCAACCCCTGGCGGCAGATGTAGCACATGCTATATCCACATAGGCATACCAGTTTGTTGCAGCCTTCAGACTTGACGAAGCCGAGGTTGCATTGCGGACAGGTCCGTTTTACCGCATCGGTGGTGGCACGCTCAAGGGTAAGTCGGAGGGACGTGAGTTGGCTGGAGAAACAAATGTGTGGGTCGTGCCAAGGGAGCGAGCAGGAGAGGCATGATGGACGACTGCAGGTGGGCGAGAGGCATTGGAAGCGAAGACCGCGCCTCTTAAGATGGATGCGGCGAAGGGCGGTTTGAATAGGTGGGAGGATAGGGAGGCGGAAGCAGACGGTTATTAAGCAGTATAAGAGAATAAGGGCGGTAAAGATGGCCTGCGACGCTTTTTGGAAAACGAGGTCCAAAACTGAGGTAGAAGATAAACAGATGGGGTCGAAGAATCGTAGTCGGAATCGTAAGTTGGAAAAGAGATTGGCGTCTGGAAGAGCGAGATCGTCGAGCTCAGCGTAGTTGCAGAACGGACAGTGAACAAGGGGCAGCTGTGATTTGGTAAGAGTCTCGTTTGCGAAGCGTTCGTTGAGCTTTGCAAAGTGATCCTCGCCATCTTTGTCCTCGAGGAGGGCTCGTCTGACGAAGCTGAGGGGTATGCATCCTTTACAGTCACCGTCTGAGATGGGCGCAATGCATCTCAGGGTGCATAGTTCGGTGTCGATGTTGCGCGCCCAGCCCTGGTCATAGAGTGCAGCACTGATGGCGTGCCGAATACAGCGAAAGCAGATGTAATGTCCATCGACGTCACAAGTTGACATTTGCTGGAGTGTATTTGGCATGTAGCAGCACTCGCAGTCGTACATTTCGCCTTCCCTCTCCGCCTCTTCCTCATTCCACTGCATGGCAAGTTCGAAGTCCTGCTGTAGCTGCTCCTTGCGATGGAGTTCCATTACTGGTACTATAAGACTCTCGTACAACTCTTTATTCAGCTCATCGCTGTCCGTCTTGACGAGCATGGGCATGCGCGGTCGGTTGGTCTTTGGGTCTGCAGCCATCCACAGGACTAGTGGGTGATCGTTGGCACTGGGTGCTTTCCTACGCATGATAAAGTTTGTTATACTTGATCTCCAGCTTCTGTTCGAGAGTTCTAACAGCGTTGGCCTTGCCTGTGTATAGCTCCAGTTGTATTCTGCCAGCACTGCCTTGATGGTTGAATGGCTAAGGCCCTTAAATTCTTGATATAGCGCATCCGTAGCTGCTCTTATATATCGTACCGAGCGGAATTTATCCTCCAAGGCGAGCGGTATGCCTCGGGTGTCCTTTGGCGCATCTTCCCTGCGATATTTGTACTTTTGCGCTGTTTCCCGTTGCTCCTCCTGTTCCGCTGGCATTCGATATCGACCGCGCACATACTTGTGGCCATGCTTGAGGAGTGTCTCTGTTATCACTTGCAGCCTGCTCTCTTCACTGAAGCTTGTGAGCATCTCACGGAACACCTCGGGCTGCACATCGGGGAAAATGTCTGTGAGCGCCTGCAGAGAGGCATTCAGGTCGCCAAGATCGGGCTCGACAGGGCCGAGGCCGCCAATGTCTGGTGGAAGGGGGCCATGCTGCTGTGTACTGGAAGAGCCTCGTAGTAATAACTTCTGCGGGCGGACAAGGGATGCGAAAGCCATGAGGCGAGGGAGCGTTCAACGCTGCAGTTGAACGTGGCGTGGGCGGTGCATGTGGCAAGGGTGTGCAGGTTGGCAACACACAAAACACCTTGTTGTTGCAGTTATCGAGTGGACATCAGTTATCAGTCGTTGAGGGGGTGTAGATTCGGAATGCATTGAGAGGCCGCAAAGAAGTCAAACGGCCGTAACGGGGAGGATCGAACAAGCGCTTCCGAGTGAGAGCAGACGCGTCATCTTGGAGACCCTTGGACCCTGCCAATAATCATCGCATGTTCACGTGACCTGCACTCTCACCGACCCCACATGCCGGGCGCACGAACCACTCAAACACAAACACAAACACAGTAGCTCATCATCACCGTGGAAATGATGGGTGTTTACCTGTTTGCCATGTCGCTTACACGCCCTAGGGAGGAAACAAATTGATCGCTTTGGCGGCTGCCGTCGTCTCCACGCTTGGCAGTACCTACCATTCACCTAGTATCACGACTAACATCTAATTCATCACCCCTACGCATTGGAGCGTCAAGAACACAACCTAACCAAATTCAAAATGTCTGACCTGGTTGTCTCTACGCAGGTCGTGGCCGACGCGCCGGCCAAGAAGCCGCGAAAGCCACGCAGAAAAGCAAAGATGACTGCTCCAGAAGACTCAACTGCGCAGCAGAATGACATCAAGTCACCCCAAGTCTTGCACGGAACCACAAACGTGAACCCAAATACCAGCGCCTCCAAAAAGCCTGAATCCAAGTCAGTCACTCTATCTCCTACCACCCATTCTACCCACAAAACTAACCCCCACACCCAGACCTTCAAAACGCCATGGCCCTTCAAAAACAGCCTGGCTCCTCAAAAACACTGGCAAAACCCTCTCCACAATCTCCTGCTCCTCTCTCCTACCCTCCACAGTCCCCGTAACCTTCTCAACCCCCGCCACTCTCCTCTGCAGCTACAACTGGCTGCTTTCCGGTCATGCAATCCATGTGCCCGGCAGGCCGCCAAAATACACACCACCCCCGCTCCCACATACCCTACGCCCCGACTCTGGCCTCCAATACACGGACCAAAACGCTGCCCGCGTGCCCAAATACCCCTTTGAACCCGCCTTCCGCGCCATGGCCGTTATGAACCCCACTCTCAATCTCAGCGACGCCGATATCGTATTGAACCGCAACAGTTTGCGCAAGTTGCTAGATTTTGCGGGCGGAAAACGGCAAGATCCCTTTCGAATGCGTTTGTCTATGCTGGGGCGCACGTTGTTCATTGAGCGGAATGAACGATCTGCGAAGATGATGATTCATGGGAAGTCGGGGCCAGGATATGGACATTCGTTCGAGCGGATGTTTACAACACCTGGAGAGGGGTTGGAGGACAGTAGTAGTCATCATCGGGTTCTACGGTATCAGCTGGGGAGTCTGGACTGCGTTGTGCGGTTTGAAGTGGATGCACATCTGGAGGATGAGGACGGCCTCGATGAATCCGAGACAGCAAAAGAAGGCAACGAGCTTATCGAAGGTATTGCCCAAGCCATGGAGAAAATCGCTGTGAACCCCGCCACCACCTTCAACGCAAAAGGGAAAGCAAAAGCAACCCCCAATACCAAACCCTCTCGCGCCACACAAGTCCTCCACACCGGCTCCCACATTCCCCCCTGGACCCTGCTGGAACTGAAAACCCAATCCCTCCTCAAAAACTCTTCTATTTCCCACGCAACCCCGCAACTCTATTTCGGCCGCACACCCAACCTCCTAGTCGGCGTGCACAGTGCCGGCACTATAATCTCGACCCGCCTCGTGAACACGGGCATGACGTTCGCGACCTGGGAGGATACGAATCAGACGCGGTTGAGGAAGATGGTGGGGTTGCTGGAGAAGCTGAGGGGGATGATGAAGCAGATGCAAGGGGAGAGGGAGGCGGTGCTTGTTTGTGAGACGAAAGGGGGGGACGTGAGGGTTTTGGAGAGGAGGGGTGGGGGAGGGGGCGTGTTGCCCGAGGAGTTGGTTCAGATGTTTTGGGGAAGGGAATGTGGGGATGATGTAGGATGATTCATTTTCTGGTGGGCTACATAGGTGTGCGCATGCTCAAGCATGTTATTTACCACACCAAGCGGTCCACACCACCCCGATCATCTTAAAACCTGCTAGTCTCAGGTATAATCTCAGTACTCAATTCTGATTCCTGGGACCTTGCAGCACGAGTCACCGTGTTTATGGATGTAGTTGCCGTCCTCGTTTGACCGTACGCCAAATCGAAACCAGAACCTGCGACATTTCTATGTGCGAGATCGATGCTCCCTGGGGTCTTATATCCTTGGTTCGATATATGCGATGTCGTACGTGTAGCCGTACGCGTAGTCGTACGCGATATCGTAAGTGTATGCGGCATCGATCCCTCACCACTACTGCTACTACGTCCCCCTCTCGACACCCCGGCCTCACGCGAAGAACTCAGCGCCCCCGTACTCCGCCGCTCCGATCGCCCCGAACTTTCCAGTCCCAAACCCATCGAAGCTGCAGAACCCACTCCACTCTCTTTTACGGGGGGCTTCACCCCAGTCACCGCATACTCAGTACTAGCCGTACCCGTCGTCACTGCGCTCTGCCCAGTTACCACACTGACCCGCACCCACGCACCCACGCCGCATACCAGCGCCGCTACAAGCACCACCGCACAGAGCGCCGACACGCAGAGACGGCATGGCCTGGACTTCGATTTCCAGCGGCGCGGCGCGGGCTCCGGGCTCGGACTGGGGCTGGAGCGAGCGTGGTCAGAAGAGTATATGGAGGGTGAGATGCTGACTTGATGCGGGTTTCGTGGTGCCGATAGCCAATGGGATGGACGTCGTGCGCGGTGTCTGAAGGGGAGGGGCTGCAGGAAGGCGGATGATATGCGGGTTAAGGTGGATGGAGGGCTAGTGGTAGGGGAAGGGGGGTTGGGCTCTGGGGCTGTGGTATGGGTTTGCGGGGTGTGAGGGTTGGTGTCATGGTGATGGGAGGGCTTATGGGTTGATTTTGAGATTTTCAAGGGGACGGGAGGTGGGAGAGGCGGCGGGATGTTGGTGCTGTAGTAAAGTTGTGTTGGAGAGGGGCGAGTGTTGGGGGTTTCGGGGAAATGGTTCCCGAGATTTATGTCTCGCAGGCATGATAGGGAGGGAAGACGGAGGCGTTGCTGAGACTCGGCTCTGGGTAGGGACAATGCAGAAGCGTTTAGTTGATGTGGTAGGTCTTTGGGGTCGGAGATGGGCCTTGATATGTCGCTCTTGCGGATACAAGTCCCTGATCTGTTAGGGGAATTATGGGGTGATTTGGCCATGAGTAGTGACACTCAAGAGTCAATACTGGGAGTGTGAAAGTATACCGTCGGAGAACAGTCTTCACGAGGAGGAGAGAGATAGTGGGGAGGGAGTTTGGGGACAGCAGATGTAGGGAACATGGTTGATCAATAGTTAGTCACCGTGGATGACTGGGTATCTCAAAAAGGATGGTTAGGGCTCACAACCATGCCCACGTAACAGTGACTCGTCCTAGAGCATGGTCTGCCATCTTGTCAAACATGGCAGGACTGACATCGATATCTGTTGGCTGACATCCTGTACCTAATGTGAGGTCAGTATTTGCTTGTCGACTCAGTATCCATGAAAACCTACATCTATCAATCACAGTCACATCAATACTAACTGATTTGCCAGTCGACTCATTAACTCTCCTCGCTCGAATCTTCCTCCCACACAGCGGGTTCTGGTTCGGATCACTACCTGTCTGAGCAGCATCGAAGGTGTAATGCGATATCGCAACCACTGGATCATCATCTCCTGAATCGATACCGCAAGCACCAAGCCCAGGATCGTAGTAAGTAAGATCACCTGTATAGGTTTGAGCTCCGCCAGGCAAGGGAAGATTCTGGGTCCTGTGGGATCGTGTCAGTGCAACGTTCGGTGATGCAGTCAGCACGACTCATACTTAGATCGCCCTCTCAGCCCAACAGCCAAACCTATGATCAGAGCCAGCAGGCATAGGAAAAAAACACCAATGACGATTAATACAGTGCGCCGACTGCGTCCAAAGTATCGTTTGTAAGGCGGGAATATGTGATCAAAGCGATCTGCAAGCGCCCATGGCGATGCGCCCGTGATGGCACCAAGGCCTGTGTCTCTCTTTTGTAGACCTTTCTCGGGAATGTCCCAGCCTGATTCTGATGTAGTGTGCGTAGCGTGTATTTCTTTCAGATGGGCCGGACAGGGCTGTCCGACCTCTTTGCGTGGTATCATGTGTGTAGTCATGGCTATGTAGGTCTGGGCGCGTAGTGCAGCGCACGGCGTGTGGTATATACGGGTATTCTCGAACTAGGAGACGAAGATTATAGCATTGTGTGGAAACAAAGGTACATAATGAATGAAAGCATAGATGCCCAGTGGCTGCCGCAACAGCGTGGAATGCGAAGGGTCTAGAGTGTGTGGGGAAAGAGTGGAGGCGTAGATCAGAGTGAAAGGTCGGAAAGGGGTCCAAGCGACTGAGACTTAGCCGCTGGCGCAGATGGTTCGGCGATAGTTGAATTAATCGCCGAGCGTTGCGAGTGATCAGTGATGATGAGCCGCGGTTTGATGCGCTTTGACATCCTCACCACTTACTTGCTCATCCCATGCTTGGCCCTGTTCGGAGAGCAAACGGCGACGACCATCACGTATCCAGTCTCACAAAATCGTAAAGAATACAGGGGTTTAGTGACGCGTATAGCTGGCGCAACCACTAAACGACATATCGCATCGCCCAACGACACCTCATCGTCACACAGCTTGGAGCCCAAGACACGGCTCTTGCAACGCCGCCATCATGACAGAACAGTCGATCAACATACCCCAAGTCCTCGTCTTCTTGGTCGTCACCTTTCTTGTTGGACGATGGTACCTCAGCAAGCCATCCGGACCAGGCACGCGAGCTGCGCCATCTCGAGCGACCCCGCGCATAAACTCTGAGCAAATAGACCAGCTAGCCCAGATGTTTCCGCAGTTGAGTAGACGTGATATTGCGTGGGACTTGCAAAGAAACGGTGGGAATGTGACCGCCACGACCGAGCGGGTCCTCAGTGGCAGGGGCTTAGACACGGTATGTGTATAGCACTCTCCAGCCTTCGATCTACACATTGTTTTGCAACAATATCCTGACTTTTTGAAACAGGCACCAGCTTCATTCACCGTCCCTGCCCCTCGTGTCGCTGCTACAGCGGCAAGAGCTACCCCTGCGGTCCAGAAGACTGCTCATCCAGATCTCATCACTCGATACAACTTGACCTCGAAGATCAACCAAGCTGCAGAGCCGGATGAAGGGGAACAGCGCAAAACCAAGTCCTGGAGCGCAGATCGCAATGAGAGGCAGGCCAACCTACAGAGAAGAAGAGAGGAGATGATCTTGGCGGCAAGGAGGAAGCTGGAACAGCAAGAGAAAGGAAAGGCAAAGGCTGATGCGTAGAAAGTAGATAGGACCCATCATACGCTTCAAAGATACCGTGTACAGTGTAGCATAGCGAATTTGAAGGTTAAGATACAAGGCTTTCTCGCACACACTTCAGGCTAAACACCACATCCACGCGGCAATGTAATTCAAGAAAAAGCGACCATAGTATGCTGCGCTGTTAAGCTCCCGACAATACCAGCCTGGGCGTCATCTTTTGTTAACAATTTTGCATCCGTCTCTCGTTTCGTCTCATGTGGCGAATCATTTGGAGGCATATCTCCAACGAGGCAAGTGCACGGCAGATATACTCGTTTCGAGGCGTACCAGATACAAACGGCCTTTTGGACCGACATTGCTATGCATCCTTCGTACCGATGTCTGATTGCAGAGACATAAAAAGTAACCCTTCCGTGGGCTTGTCGCACACAAGCTGCGGTGGCCTCGGCGTTCGGTTCGATGTTCCCCCATCTCACCCCGCATCCGCCGATTTTCTGGGGTATCCATACCACTACAGTAGCAGCCTTACCTTGCAGACTGCCCAAAACGCTCTCGCGTCTTCCCCTAGTGACGGCGAATTCAATCACCGTCAATATGTCCAGACCGTAATTATAAGGCTGGCAATGATCGACTGCGGTCATCCGGCTCCATGGCGCATGTCAGAATCGCTTTAAGAGAGCCGACCCATCATTGTGCGAATTCCAGACGGCACTTCATGACCCCTGGCGTCATTTGAACCACCGGACAACAAGCCATGCGGTTCTCCTCGCTGCTGCTTGCAGCCTTCAGTGTGATCTTGGGAGTGTTCGCTGCCGACAATGGCCTCCAAACGGTTGTTGAGTGGGACAATGGGTCTCTCATGGTCGATGACGAGCGCGTCCTCATCATGAGCGGAGAGTTCCATTACCAGCGGCTTCCTGTTCCAGAATTATGGCTCGACGTCTTTCAAAAGTTCAAAGCCAATGGCATGAACGCGGTCAGCATCTACTTCTTCTGGTCATATCATTCTTCATCCAAGGGACAGTATGACTTCACAACCCCCGGAAAAGACCTTCAGAGATTGTTCGACATGGCCAAAGAAGCTGGATTATACGTCATCGCCCGTCCTGGACCTTATGTCAATGCCGAGACCAACGGAGGAGGCTTTGCGCTATGGACCAGCGATGGCAGTGGTGGAAAGTACAGAACGTCAGATGAGACATATCGGCAAGCGTGGTCAGAGTGGATTGCAGAAGTCGGGTCGATCATTGCGAAGAATCAGATTACGGAAGGGGGCCCGGTCATCCTAGCACAGGTCGAGAACGAGCTCCAGCAGACGCGATACGAGGCCAACGACACGCTTGTTGTGTACATGGAGCAACTGAAGACTGCTTTCAAGGACGCTGGTATTGTTGTACCACTCTCGCACAACGAAAAGGGTTTCAGATCAAAGAGTTGGTCTACCGACTATAACAACGTAGGGGGTGCTATCAATGTCTACGGACTTGACTCATACCCAGGCGGCATGAGCTGCACAAACTTGGACTCTGGATTCAATCTGCCGAAAACATACTATCAGTGGTTCCAGGAAGTTTCACCCACCCAGCCAGAATATCTTCCGGAATTTGAAGGAGGATGGTTTCAACCATGGGGTGGATCTTTCTACGATTCTTGCCGTGCCGAACAAAGTCCCGAATTTGCGGATGTGTTCTACAAGGGCCTGATCGGCCAGCGCGCCACACTACTGAACTTGTACATGGCATTTGGAGGAACAAACTGGGGCCATAGTGCCGCCCCTGTCGTCTACACGTCATACGATTATGCTGCTCCACTCCGTGAGACACGAGAGGTTCGTGACAAGTTCAAGCACTACAAGCTGCTAGCGCTTTTCACTCGTGTCAGTAAAGATCTTCACAACACATACATGGAAAGCAATGGTACCGCAAACGCTGTCGACAATGCTGCCATCTGGACTTGGGTTCTCAAGAACCGTGAATCGAATGCCAGATTTTACCTCGCCGAGAACAACAGGACAAACACGCGTGCTGTGACTGACTTCTCGATCAACGTCAAGACGTCTGGCGGTGACATCACCATTCCGAGAATGCAATTGAACGGCCGGCAAAGCCGATGGGTCGTGACAGACTACGCATTGGGAAATGACAATTTACTATTCTCCTCAGCCGAGGTCCTTACCTATGGTATCTTCGATCGACCTGTCGTCATTTTCTACCTCAAAGAGGGCCAGACTGGTGACTTTGCTTTCAAGTCAAACAACAGCATCACTTTCAGCACGACCGGCGCACAGACTGACCTGGCAAGCTCAGCATCAAACTCTACAGGATACTCGCGGTTCACGTATACACAGAGCAAGGGATCAACAGCTGTACAATTCTCAAATGGAGTTTTGGCCTATCTCCTCGATGTCCCAACAGCATACACATTCTTCGCAGCTGCAACCACGGAGAATCCCAATGTCACCCCAGATCATCAGATCTTTGTGCTTGGCCCTTACCTTGTCCGTTCGGCCAGCGTTTCTGGCAGCAAGGTGTCTATTGTCGGTGACAATGCTAATGCTACTACCATCGAAGTATACGCAGGTCTCGGCGTCGATACAATATCTTGGAATGGCAAAGATCTGCCGACAGAAAAAACAGCCTATGGTTCCCTGACCTCCACGCTTTCCACGATCTCTAACCGCCAAATCACCCTCCCATCTCTTTCTAATTTCAGGGCCGGGGACTCCTCCCCTGAAATTGCTACATCGTACGATGACAGCAACTGGATCGTCGCCGACAAGACGACCACACTGAGCCAAGTGAAACCCCTCACTCTCCCTGTATTGTTTAGCAGCGACTACAAATTCTACACCGGCGCTAAGATCTACCGCGGTTACTTTTCTGGAAAATCCGCCTCTGCACTTAACATCACAGTGCAGGGTGGTGCAGCTGCGGGCTGGAACGCCTGGCTGAATGATGAGCCACTTGGATACCACCCAGGCAATGCATCACAGTGGGCCACTACAGCTTTGCTTTCCTTCAACAATGCCACACTGAAAGACAAAGACAACATGATTACCGTGATCACAGACTACACCGGCCACGACCAGACCTCCACTGGACCTTCTGGCGCACAGAACCCCCGCGGTATCCTCGGCGCCCAACTCCTTGGCGCGAACAACACGAAGATATCTTTTGATCAGTGGAAGATCCAGGGTAACGCCGGTGGAGAGCAAAACATCGATGCCGTCCGTGGACCTATGAATGAGGGCGGTCTCTACGGGGAACGACTGGGCTGGCATCTTCCAGGCTTTGATACAAGCGCCTGGGAAGAGGGTAGCCCTGTTGAAGATGGTGTGCTAGGCGCTGGGGTGAAATGGTTCACTACATCGTTCGATCTGGATATTGATGACGATCTTGATGTTCCCATTGGTGTGGAGCTAGGTGCAGACCAGGGGACTGTGGCAAGGGTTTTGATTTTTGTCAATGGGTAAGCTTCCTTTCTCTTTCATTTTTTTCAAAGTGTTCTCTCCAAACATATGCCTCCTGCATGTTTGGTTTAGATAATGGCTTCAGCTGACGACACCCCCAACAGTTACCAATATGGTAAATTCGTCCCGCACATTGGACCACAGACCCGCTTCCCCATCCCTCCTGGTATTCTTAACACAGCCGGGAAGAACACCCTAAGTATCGCATTATGGTCACAGACAACATCTGGTGCGAAGCTCAATACCTTGAGATTGTTCGAGTATGCCAGGTATGAAAGTGGATTCGGGTTCAAGGACATCGACACGGCGGCGTTGCAGCCCGAATGGGTAGATAGGAGTCAGTTCGCCTAGTTCACTTTCATAGGAGACACTTTCCATTTGATTTGGCAGTTTCTGAGCTTCCCTTCTGCGTACATAGGTATCCTATCTATGAGGTTGTCATAGTGACTCAACGCAGATTATCAAGCCCGAAAAGCGTAAAAATGGTATAAGTTACTATCAGCTATTGACATTCACACTCCTATTCCCAGTTCCTCGCACCACCCCTACCCATACCAAACACCCACCTCAACCCCCGAAACAGCCATCCAAGCCCCCCATGAAATCCCACTCTCCCCTTCCCCCACCGTCACGCACCAACAACCTCCGCACTACTCACCACCACATGGTCCTTATGCTCCATAGCCACCATCCCACTAGCCCCTCGATGATGCACCCCATGCTCCCTCTCCGCCCTGGCCACCTTCCCCTCCAGCTCCCTAATCTCCGCCTCCTTCGCCCTCCGCAACCCTTCCATCTTCGCATTTCTCTCCTGCAAATCCGTTTCCGCGGTCCGCGCTTTCTTCTCCCATTTATTGCGCGCCTGCTGGGCGTCGCGAAGATCTTGCTCCGCTTCGTCGAGTTTAGCCTGCAGGGCGTGGTATTCTTTGATCTTATCGTCAAGGTCGGTAGATTGCGCGGCGTGTTTCCGGGACAGGGTAAGTAGGGAGTCATTGGTTTTGCGGTGGTTGTATTGCTCGTTGCAGAGAGCGGTTTCCAGGTTTTGCTTGGTGGTGGTGAGAGCACTGAGGGTGGTGTTGAGGGTGCTGAGTTCGCGTTGTTTGAGGGCGAGGAGAGACTTTGTGGATGTGAGGGTTGCAGTTAGGCCAGCGATTTCAGTGGCGCGGTCGCAGAGGGTAGATTCGAGGGTGCGGATGTAGGAGGAGAGGGATGTGATTTCTGCGTTGAGTTTTTGAATGGTTGCATCGCGGTCTTTGAGTTTGCGGGCAGAGAGGGCTTCGGCATCGCGAGATGTGGCGAGGTTCTTTTCCAGCTGCGCGATGTGGTCGTGGTCTTTTTTGTCGTGGGCTGCAAAGTCGGCGTCTCGTTTCTTGTCGGAGAGCTGGTCTTTTTCGATGTAGACTTTCTGTTGCTTGACTTCTGCTTCTGCTTTGGCTCGGCCCGCCTCGGCTGTAGCGTGTTTCTCCTCAGATAGGGTGAGGTCGTCTTTGGTCTTTACGAGTGCTTCCTGCAGTTTGGCTTCGCGGGATTCGGCAGCGGCGCGGTAATCTTGGAGCTGCTTCTGCAACTCCTTGTTTTTGGCATCTAAGACACCGTTGGCTTCGAGATGCTTGGCGATGTCATCTTCGAGGACAATGATCTTTGTGGCTCTAGCCTCTGCCTTCTTTTCGAGCATCTGGAAGGACTTGTCGAGCTGATTGAATTGGTTGACAGCATGGTTGGCTAGATAGCCGGCCTGGTCAACATACGCCGCAGAATGCCTCAGTGTCTCGACGAGATCCGCGGGAAATGGAAGGGCACCATTGTATCTCTTGAGAGATGAGGTCGCCTTGGGATAACTGCACTCCATGGTAATTTTCTCCACGGCAGGGCGAGGAGGCGTGAACTGGTGCTCCGCTCCAATCGTGATCTTCTGAGCTAGTGGCATTTCCTTCTGGATGGCTTCGGGGTTTGTCTTGCTCTTGATGGTGACATTGAGACCACTAGTCTTGGTGCTGATCTTGCAGTCCAAGGTGTAGTAACCATTGTGCTTGAAGGAGAACATGGTCGGGGTTCCGATTTGAGACTGTTGCTCTCCGGTCGCATAGGTCAATGAGCGTTCTCCCTTGTTGGCATCCTGTGTCCATTGCCAGACAGAAACCACAGGTTTGCCGTTCCCAAGACCCTTGGGAGTAATAATGAAGAAAGCTTCGTTCTTGGCCCAATCGTGGAAGTCGACGGCGCCAGTCCAGATTGTGGGTGGATCAGACTGCGGGAGGGCTGTGAAGGGCTGATCGTAGTGGCGGGTCAGTGCTACTTTGGACGTCTTTCCATCCTTGTCTTTGACGGTCAACGTGAGTTCCTTGTAGGCCATTTTGGTAACAATCTGATATGTAAAGTGATTATCCTTGAAGTTTACAAGGTCTTCGCTTTCGTCAGTGACCTTGACGTCTGTTGCTTTATGTGATATCAAGTCCCACTGCTTAGTGTAAAGAAAGATGGGATCGTTGTGCTCAATGGTGCCATTGGGCAGAACGGCAACGAGGAGCTCAGTATCGAGCTTGCCATAGTAGACGTAGAACGACATACTGTATAAAATTGGCAATATTGGAAAAGAGAAGGCGATTGATGGAGAGATGGTACTTCGAAAAATTTGTCAAGGCTCAATCAAGGACTTTATATACTCTTCCTTTGTATTTTCGCAAACCCCTACTGAGATAAAAAACCCTCTTCAAAGACCACCACCAACTGAGAACATGCAGCGTAATACGAGGATAGTTGCAAATTTGCAAGCCATGTTCACCATGAGCATATCTGTTTCACGCCATCTCGCATGCAATTGTGTGGTCTATGGCTAGAGGGGAATCAAGCATCAGCTTCAGTTGGCCCAGATCACGTACAGCTCTCATGGAGCATCCAGAAACTGAGACCAAAGCATGCCATGCTTTGAGGCATTAGTATCACGAGGTGCAATCAGCCCAGAAATGTCAAGCCTCAAATGTAGTATCGAGCTCTTGGAGGATGAAAACATCGAAAACACACTCTTAGCTAACGCCACAGCATCCAGACTTAGGAGAGGTCGGACCATTAATTGGAAGCGAGCTTCAACCCGCCTGATTAGGCGACGACTCCGACTTGGGTGCGAGGCGCAAAAGGTTCGGTTATGGGAAAGTTCTCAAGGCTAGTCTAGGACATGGAGAAACCATTGGCCTAGGCTGGCTAGGTATTGGGCTGGTTCTGGAAACATAGTGTTTGGGAAATCTACAGGGTTGGATATTTGAGGGGGCTCGACAAGAAGTTACCTAGAACCGTCGCGTGGGCGTCGCGTGGCTGGCTGAGGCTTTCCCCACACTTACCCGATCGGGTTGATCATTTGTGGGCCAGACCCCCAATCACGGAACCACATCGGTCTCAAGCACGGAGAAAGCGACGGGCCGCAGCGCTCGCATAGTCCACAACTTGGCCTCCAGTGGCTGGACCGCTTTAAGCCTCGACATACTGAGGAGCTGAATACGCCAAAGCTCAGCTGAGAGTACCTAGCCTCTCATTCGACATTCGAACTTACCATGAAGCCCTACGAGGCTGCAGGTGGCTTGTACTATATTGTATACATTCGCTTACTAGATGGCGGTCTCGGTCCTTCCGTTGTGGTGTCTACTCGAGACCACCTAATCTGGCGCCCAACCTCCGTATTGGCATACGGTATCGCTTGCAAGACTATCTTGGTCTGGACGACTCATATGTCTAACACACGCGGCTGAGCAGACACTATCCAAGCATTTGGGACGAAATGATCACGCCCCCAAATTAAAAGCTTCAAACATCCTTGGCCATCTGGAGAATACATAGATCAGGACTTTCACCGTGGCTGTTGATACGGCAACTTTTTGCACGACGGTTTTCAGCCGCTCCCTTGTACCTCTATCTATGAGCGACGGCTTCTATCTGCCTTTGGACTCTGTTGTCAACCCAAAATCTAAACCCAACACACCCAAGATGGAGACTACAGCTATCCATAACCATGGGGTTCACACAAACAAGGACATTCCCGAAGTTACTGTCGCCGAGATCAGTTCTGAAAGTTCAACTACGGAGCATGAGAATATTTCCGCTAGGGAAGGTCCTGAAATCAAGATGACTGAGGATCAGGAGGCTCCCCTTCATGCTACCCATCACACTAGTACACATTCTCCCCACAATCAGATCATCCCAAATCTATCCAATGGTCAATACGCCACCACGCACTTCCCACATACCGGTCTCACTATCCTTCCCCTCCCTCATGAAGGTGCAGGTTTCACTCCCCCCGGATTCCGTCATTCCAATCCTGATGTCAACAACCTTCCCTTTCCTCGCCCAACAAGTCCTACCGGATCTGTTCGCAGCTCGTACGGTAGTACACGTCGCCGGATAATCCGTCGCTCATTCAGCGGTGGTCACTCCCATGGACACTATTCTGAGGTTTCCAAAGAGCTCACGCTCGCAGCTGAGAGCGAGTTTCTTGCTCTTATGGAGCTCATGTCCTCCATGTCTCGTCGCAGCTCCTCATTAAAGGAAGTCTGGATGAAGTTAATCGCCGAGCGAGAATCTCACTACCATGAGATGGACCGCATGTACGAGCGCATCGAAGAGTACACCGAGATTATTGAAAAGCATGAGCGGGAATCACATTCACACAATCACGAACATGAGGAACGCAAGAAGGAACTTGTCAAAGTTCGCTTGGAGTTTTCTATTGCAATCGCTGCTGTCTCCGAGTGGAAGAAGAAATTCGAAGACCGTAATGGCGACCTTGGGAAAGCCGATTCACGCATCTCAGAACTTGAAGACTTGTTCAAGTATTCACAAGAGCGCTATGAAGAGTCAAAGACCATAGTGGAGCAGAAGAGTCTAGAGATCATTGCGATTCGTGACCGTTGCGAACACGCAGAAAAAGACGTCAGGAAACACGAAAATGAAGCTGAGGTCTTGAAATCCATGTATAAGAAGCTAGAAAGCAGCTTCACGGAGATTTCAAGCAAGTACAAGTCTTCTCAGCTGGAGATAACTACTCTCAAGGCCCAGAACGAAACCTACGTCAAAGAACGTCACGACTGGATGCATGAAAAGGGCGAGCTTGACGACAAGCTCCGCAGACGCGACCTAGAGATTGTAAATCTGAAGAGTGAGATTGAGGAGGCCAATACCACAATCAAAAAGAAGAAGCGCGAGCTCCATGAGTCCGAGGAGTCCAACAAGAAGCTCTCAGAAGCTCTCAAGAAGAGCAAGCACCTCATCGAAGAGCAAGAAGAAACAGTCAGCAAAAAGAAACGCGAATACAAAGAACTCCTCGTCCGCTACGGCAACATCGAAGATACCTGCGGCAAACTAAAGACCAAGTGTCTGCACTACGAAGAACAACTCTCCACCTTTAAGCAAACCATTACCCGCCTCGAAACCGAGCGCACCACTCTCCAAGAAACCCTCACTGAAGTGCGCTCCAAATACAGCGAACTGGAAATCGTCCACGAAGAACTCAAGCGAGAACACCACGGCAAATGCAAAGAGTCTGAAGACCGCTACCGCCTCATCATCACACACGAGCAAACCATTATGCGCCTCGAAACCTCCCTGAAAGAAAAGTCGGAACTCATCCATACCTACCGCGAAACGATAGAACGCCTCACAATCGATCACGAAGAGTCCAAAAACCGCTGCGAAGACCTAATTCTAGAGCTCACGACCTCGACCTCAACCATCGCCTCGCTCAAGCTAGAAATGGACGTTCTAACCACCGAGCGCAATTCCTACTGTGAACGCTACACCGAGTGCGAGGCCCAGTACCTAGAAATCTGCCAGTGGCGCGACGAGTTCCACGGCGGGAATAGCGAGTTTGAGTACGAGATTGCCAATCTACGCGGTATGCTGAAGGATGTACGTGAGGAGCGTGAGCGGGCAATTAAGAAGCGCGAGGAGGCTGATCGGGAGCGCGACGAGGCGACGAGCAAGTATGAGAGTAAGTGTAGGGATTTGGATCGCATGGAGGAAACGTGGAGTCGCAGGTGGAAGGATCATGAGAGACATTGTGGGCATGGGGGTAGTCATGGCCATCATGGGGGGCATGTACATGTAGGGAGTTTGGGGTTTACAACGGGGAGGCCGTTTGGAGGACCTGTCAGGATCTTCTCGCAGACTAGTGGGTCAGTTAGGGGGGAGGATACGGAGAGTGTAGTTAACAGTGCTGTTGGGCAGGAAGGTTGAAGTTGTCGTGATATTCAATGGCTAGATAACGTGATCCACCACCGAGCGCCCACCCCCACCGAGCGCCCACTAACACCAAAATCACCAAATTTTTAACACTAAATTTCTTAATAACTATAGCACCTATTAATAATACGCTTATAGCAATTAAATCCTTAACTCTTAGAGAAGATTTTATATACTTAGAAATAGTAGAAAAGTATAGTTACTTATAGTTAACCTTATCTAGATACTAATAAAAAATTTAGTAGGTATATACTACTACTCTACTAAATAGTTAAATACTTAATACTATATAAGAAAGTAAGCTTATAAAGTATATTAAAGAGCTTTATAAGTAAAGATTACCCCTTATATAAACTATTATTTAAAATTTTATAACTAAAATATTAGGGAATCTAGTAAGTAAAAATTAGGTATAGCACTTTATTAACTGCTATAATATTAATCTTATCTCCTATTAGGCTACTAGGCTTAATTATAACTACTTAAAAGCTAATTCTACCTTTAAGTATAGCTTATACTTTAAGCTTTTATACTAAAAAATAGAGTAATATAATATTAAAAGTTAGTATATCTATAATATAAATAAGAAGGGTTTTCTTATTAAAGTACTATTAAAAACTAAATATATATTTAATAAGAGCGCCTATAAGTAAAGAAAGATTAAAGCTATACTCTAGGATAGTAATAGAGAGTAGATTACTACTATAGCTTATATATATACTAATAGTACTACTTTTACTTCTACCCTTATTTATTAGTCTTAATCTAGAGCTCTATAGGATACCTAGTTATAAGATTTTAACCTATTATAACACTAAGCTTTCTTTATAGGATTACTAAGTAGGTAGATAAGCTATACCCTAGGGGTATTCTAGCTTAAGGAGGTATTTAATTATAAGATAAAAGCTAAAGCTTATACTTTATACTAGCTCCTTATCCTTAATAGCTATAAATCTTATATAATAATAAAGTTTATTAAGTACTATAATAAATATAAGATCTTACTTATAATATATCCCCTTTATAGTACTTATACCCTTTAGCTACTTAATATTATAGTATTTACTCCCTTTATAGCTTTATATAAAGCTTAACTATCTAGTTTTCTAGATAGCTCCTAATAGCTTATAAGTATTACTAAAAGGATTTCTACTAGTTATTTAATACTATATAAAGTAATACCTTTAAGGAAAAGCTAATATTAATAGCTTTTAAAGTAATAGGTATTTTACTACTTAACCCTAATATTATCCTTTTAAGGTTTAAAGCACCTATAAATAATAGTAACTAGCCTTCTTTAAGTAATAGTATAACCTTAATATTAAGTATAAGTAATTAGAGAAAGATAGAGTAGTTACTTTATAATACTATAATTAATATCTATAATAAATAGTTAAAGAAGCTTAGCTAGATAATCTATACTATATTAGTAAGAAATACTTTACTTAACTATAAAAATAAACACCTAAGGGCTACCCTAGCTAATAAGAAGAAGTGTAGAAAGTGTAGTAAACCTCTATTATTACCCCCTAATAATAATTATAGTAGTAGTACTTAATTTATTTTACTATTAAAGGTAAAGTAAGTATTTAAGCTCTAGAAGTAAAAGAACCTTAAAGAATAGGAGCTATAATACTAAAAAAGTAAGGTAATTAAGCTTTATAAGTAATAGAAGCTTACTAAAGCTTAACTTATAAAGGAGTATTACTTAAATTAAATAATTACTAAAAAGGAGTAGAAAGAGAAAGCTACTTAAAAAGCTACTATATATAATAAGTAGAAAACTACTAAGTAACTAGAAAAGTAACTCTAAAATAATATTAAAATATCCTAAATAAGTAAGAGGTAAATCCTTAAGCCTCCTACTATTATACTAGCTAAGGTAGTTAATAAGGAGCTAGTAGAAGAGGATATAGTAGTAGAGTTAACTTTATAGCATAGGCGCCTAATTAGACCCCCTAAAAAGCTACTTATATAATCTAAAATATTTAATCTACTCTAATAGATCTAATAATTATAACTCTAAGAAATCTTATAATAATAGCTATTGTGGGTGGCGCAATATCCTTATTTAGTGGGTGGTGGATTTTGGTGTTGGTGGGCGCTCGGTGGGGGTGGGCGCTCGGTGGTGGATCACGTTATAGCACATGACGTTGGAGGGGGTTTTATTTCCTTTCGTTTGATTATCCAATGTAAAAACCAATGTGGATCCTGTGAAGTTTCAGTTCCAGGGTGTGTGATATCAACGAAATGTAATATTAATGTCATATGTTTATCCCTAGGAATTCTTCATGTCTGCATTGTGAGCAACTGCTCGAGTGGAGATGTTGGAAGTATTCCCGCCGCCAACAGGTTCCCCCAAACTCCGCGGTGAAGCCCCACATGCCGGCAAAACCTTCCGCCATTCGCCGACCAAAAAACTTCAAGCCTGGACCAACTGCAACCAACACGAAAAAGCCAAACCATTCACTCTTACCACCACGCAGTTTTCGCCTTCAATTATCCGGCAATATGTTCGCCGTACCGGGATGGACTGTTTCTGCGCCTATCAAGGCGCAAGTTGAAACCCCAAAGCCAAAAGATCCGAATAAGTTGGGCAAGAAGGCGCTGAAGAGGAAAGAGAAGCAGGAGGTCAAGGTTAATACAGAAAACATTGGAGAGTTTTGGGATAAAGCAGTGGAGGCCGTGGGTCTAAAGCCGACAGAAGCACCCAAGGGGGGCAAGAATGCGCAAGATGAGGCCAAATCAGAGACGAATGGCGCGCCTGTGATAGAAGTTGAGGCGACAGGTGCTGGAGCAACAGAGAAGCGTGGAAAGAAGCGCAAGAGGGGCAAGGCTGGAGGAAGAAAGAATAGAGAAGATGGTGGTGAAGTTGCCGAGAAGGCAGAGACTGCTGAATCTGTCACCAAGACACTAAAACACACGACCAAAGACACACAAGCATCCTCAGCCGACAAGCCAGTAACAACAGACGGCGAATCCAAGCGCGACAAGAAGAAACGCAAGAAGGAACACTCGGATGACTCCAAGTCCCCAGTTGTCGAACCCACCCTCCCCGCCGCTGTCGACCTCCTTCCCGAACCCAAAGGCCTCACACCCCTACAGAAATCCATGCGCAGCAAACTCGCCAGCGCCCGCTTCCGCCACCTGAACGAGTCCCTCTACACCAAGCCGTCGGCCGAATCCCTCGACCTCTTCAAACAAGACCCCTCCATGTTCGAAGACTACCACCGCGGCTTCCAACAACAAGTCGAAGTCTGGCCCTCCAACCCCGTCGACAGCTACGTGTCCAGCATCCTTGCGCGCGGCAAAATCAGCCTCCGCGACCCCTGGAAAGCTGCCAAACGGCTCGCGAAAAAAGGCAAAGCTGCGCCCCCAGAAGAAGAAGCCCCAACGTCTGCTGTTGTCCGCGCAACAGGCGATGCAAAACCCCTCCCCCGCAACCTCAAAGGCCATTGCACAATCGCCGATCTAGGCTGCGGCACCGCCTCGCTCTCCTACCGCCTGCAACCCCATCTCAAAGCCCTCAACCTCACCTTCCACTCATTCGACCTGGCCAAGCCCACAGGCCCTTCAGCCCACCTTGTCACCGTCGCCGACATCAGCGCGCTGCCCCTCGCCGACAACAGCATGGACATTGCCATCTTCTGCCTCGCCCTCATGGGCACAAACTGGCTCGACTTCATCGACGAAGCCTACCGCATCCTCCGCTGGAAAGGCGAACTCTGGATCAGCGAGATCAAATCCCGCTTCGGCCGCGCCGACCCCAAGACGACGTCGAAAATCCCAATCAACAGCATCGGCAGCCTGCACAAGAAAGACGCCAAGCCGAAGAAGAAGAAGAACGCGGCAAACACGCCTTCCCAGCCCGAACCCGAAGGCCCCCAAACCCCGGCCGACGAATCCCTCCTCGCCACCGCAATCGATGGCGCGCCCCCGACCCCACAGGACGCTACGCATATTGCCCCTTTTCTCGCCGTCCTGCGCGCCCGCGGCTTCGTCCTCGATGCCCCTGCCGAACGCCCGCTCGAGGCGGTGGACTCGTCGAACAAGATGTTTGTGCAGATGCGCTTTGTCAAGGCGGCGCATCCGAGTGGCGGCCGCAATGCGAGGGCGGATCAGAGGGTTGGGTCTGGGAAGATGGGGAGGGGGGAAAAGGGTGGGGATGTTGGGGAGGAGGGCGAGGTGGAGGGTAAGGCGGGCGAGGTGTTGAAGCCGTGTCTGTACAAGATTCGGTAAGGCGGGTTGGGGCATGTGGACATGTAGAGGAACTAGCGACTACGGAATCAGACGTCGAGAAATGGGGTTTCCGGATTCAAGACTCGGATGATTCATGCCCAGATGGATTCAGTCTGAAATCTTCATCTTGGATTTTTAAACCCAGACCCAGACCCAGACCCAATCCATGTCCATGTCCATGTCCATGTACGTTTCAAATCTCATGGCGAGCATCATCGCACATCATCACTCTCCCATCCCTGAATCGGCATTTTTCATGCGCTCTCATCCTCATGTCTCCATGTCTCCATGCCTCCATCCAACATTATACATTATACACATCACACATCATACACATCACACATCCCATCGAAAACGAAAAAAATCCCATCATGCCTCAATGCCTAACCCATGGTGCCACGTGAGCAGGGAGAGGAGAAATTACCTTGGCAACATGGCCACTTTGTTGGTTGCTACGTCTAGTCTAATTTGTCCTCGATACAAGGGTTGGGGAATTCCGTCTTGCCCGACTGTCCCTCTTCTCTCTGATCCTCTCGTCTCTCTGATTGCTTCATCGCCCTGGTTTCCCCTCCCCCATTCATCCCACCCCACCCCAGCCAATACAGCCAACCCCCTGCCCGCATATCCCCGTCTACCCAAACCCAACCTACTGGGCTAACTGAGTGAGGACGTTGGCTGCGGCGTCAATGTTGCCGTCGCACATATCCAGGGCTTGGACGGCTTCGGCAGCGGTGACGTTGAACATGCTCGTGAGGCTCTCAATGTGATCGTGTGGATATCTCGAACTGAGCGCCGGCAGGGGAGATGGGGCTGGGGCTGAGGCTGAGGCTTTTGGTGCTGCTGCAGGCTGCGAGGACGACGACGAGGACGAGGGGCCGGGAGCAGCAGTCGCAGAGGAACCTGCTGCAATCGAGTGTTCGGCGGCGGCGGTGGCGCCCTTGGGTCGTACCGCACCGGTTTTGGCGCCAATTTCCGTGCCATTGGGACCCGCAACCGTCGGCTCGTTCATCTCGGCCTCTTCAAAACTGCGGGGAATCTCGGATTCGTGGAGAAAGGGGACTTCTTGGCCTTGGAAGCAGAGCGCATTCTTCTCAAGGTCAATCTTGGCGCGGTATCGCTTGAGCATGTCGAGGCCGAAGAGTAAGTCTACATCTTTGCCCTCCATGACGGTAAAGGCGCAGGGCATGACGGCGCCGCCAATCTTGATTTCGGCGTGGTGGACACGACCGAGGATTCGTGCTGTACCGACTCCGCGAGCCATGCCTGCGTAGCGAACATCCATCAAACGCATGATGCCACACCGTTCGGCGCAGTCGGGCGACATGATGGTGGCCTGGGCGCCCGAGTCGACAAAGGCCTTGACTGGGACGCCATTGACTTCGGTGTTGACGTAGAGCATGTGGACACGTACAAAGACTGACGGTTGCTGTTAGTACTGTTCTTCCCAACCGGAGGGCAGGAGGGAGGGGAAGGGGAGCATGGCTAACCCTCTGGGTTCTCGTCATAGGCCTTTTGCAGATTCTCGACGACACGGTCTTGGCGAATCAGGTCCTCAATCTTGCGCTGGGCCTCGACGTTGAAGGGGTCTTCGTTGAGGAGGGCAATCTGGTTCTGGCGCTCGCGCTCTGCTTCATCGGCCTGGCGTTGTCGCATCGCAAAAGTCTCTCGCCAGCGGACGGGGTCGTTGAGGGCAGCGCCGAGCTCGGGGTCACGGGTGCGGAGGTCGTTTTGGGAGCTGGGGTTCATGAGGATATGCTGTCGCACACCCTCTGGATCAGGCTGGGCTGGCAGGCGCGGGCCGCCGGTTCGAGGGGTGGGGTTACGGCGGATCATGACGGCCAGCATCTCACCATCCCTTATCCCAGCCGCCTCTAGGGTTTGTGTGTCGTGGGCTACCGCCTTGCCATTGAGGTAGATGCTCTGTGTGGTGGCGGGCAGGCCCGTATCGGCCTCGATGAAGCCCTTGAGATCCTTGACGGTGCTGTCCGGCGGCAGCTCGAGCGTCAGCAGCTCATTGTCGGCTTGGGTGCCGGGGGCGGTGATGGAGATGGTGACGCGGGGCCTGGCGGGCGCAGAGTTAGCCGTGACTCGCGGGCAGGTCGCACAGCAACGGCGCTGGCAGACACACTCACATGGTGTGGTGGGCCGGGAGTGGTGGCGGCGTCCCTCGTCCTTGCTGGGCCGGCTGCAGGTTTGGCTGGATGCGGGCCAAGGAGCGTAGTACCGTCACAGGTGAATGCTACAGATGTTGGCTAGATTGCGACGAGAGGGTCCGCTAAGGGGAGGGACGGGGCGGGGGGGAAAAACCGAGGGACGGGCGAGGTTGCAGTGGCCGGTGCAGCGGTCGAGACAGATGGCGGGCAGATGAAGCAGAGCGAGCAGAGAGCAAAGCAGAGGGATTTTCCTGGGAGAGTGAGTGGCAGTAGCAGTCGTGGGCGGTGAGGGATGGTTAAGAGTAGTACCCAGCAACTCACTCCCACCATTGGCTCTCACTGCATGAC